AACAATAGACGGTCATGTGTACATACAGTAGACGTCACATACAGGCAGACGGTCATGTGTACATACAGGCACAAATAGACGGTCATGTGTACATACAGGCACAAATAGACGGTCATGTGTACATGCAGGCATACATGTGCACACAAATAGACGTTCATGTGTACATACAGGCACAAATAGACGGTCATGTGTACATGCAGGCACAAATAGACGGTCATGTGTACATGCAGGCACAAATAGACGGTCATGTGTACATGCAGGCACAAATAGACGGTCAACAATACATAGACATGTGTACATGTAGACATGTACATGCAGCACAAATAGACGGTCATCAGTAGACGTATACATAGGCAGACGGTCATGTGTACATACAGGCACAGACGGTCATTTGTACGGCACGCAACAATAGATCATGTGTACATACAGGCACAAATATCAACATGTCATACATATATCACATACACATTATGCATAGGCACATGTGTACATGTAAACATAGCATGTGTACATACACATAGACGGTCATGTGTACATTAGACGTTCAACATGGCACGACATACAGGCACACACATACAGGCACACATATGCAGTCACAAATAGACGGTCATGTGTATATGCACAAATAGACGTTCATGTCATACAGTTCACAGGCACAAATAGACGGTCATGCATACAGGCACAAATAGACGGTCATGTGTACATACACACAAATAAAATAGTAGAATGTATGTGATGGCCACACACATTGCATGTAACATACACAGGCAAATATTAGCAAACTTTGCAGTGTGCGTGTATATATACATGAATAGAGTAAAGTTAGACAACCTTCAATATTTTAATAAATTTTTCTCTCTCTCCTTCCCTCTTACTCCCACCCATCTTTTTTTTTTTTATATCTATCTTCTGTCTTACACCTTTCCTTCCCTTTCTCTCTTCCCTATTACCACCCCCTCCCTCTTTCTCTCTTATGTTCTTTCTTCCCTATTACCCCTCCTTTCTCCTCCTCTCTTCCCACCTTTCTCTTTCATTTTACCCTCATCCCCTCTTTCACTCTTTCCTCCTCTCTCACTCTACCCTTTCTCTCTTCCCTCTTCCTATCCCCTTACCCCCTCTCCCTCCTCTCCTCTCCTCTTCCCCATCCCTCCATTTCTCTCTCTATCCTTTCTCTCTCCCTTTTACCCCCTTACCCCTCTTTCCCTCTCCTCTCTATTTTCTTTCTTCCCTCTTACCACCCCCTAACCCCTCTCCCCTTCTCCTCCCCATCTCCCCCATTTCCCTCTCTCTCCCCTCAAAAAAAAAAAAAAAAAAAAAAAAAAAAAAAAAAAAAAAAAAAATTGCAGGTGTCAGCTCGGCAGAATATGTCACGTGATGAATGTATCGCTGACGGGGGTGCGTGCGTGTCCCCCGGGAACTGCATGACCCCCAACAGGGCTGCCGAGACTTGCAACGGAGGCTCCGTGTGTTGCAATCCCACGGGGCTGGAAGCATTCAAGCAAACACTCGAACTGGATGGCTTCGAAGTCGACCTGCGAGGTGATTTTTGTTTAATGCTTATTATATATATATATATATATATATATATATATATATATATATATATATATATATATATATATATATATATATATATGTATATACACACACACACACACACACACACACACACACACACATATATATATTATATATATATATATATATATATAATAATATTATATATATATTACATGATCATTTTTTTAATTCTTGTTTGTTTTGTTTAAGTGTTGTTTAAATGGTTAATATTGTATATATATATATATTTTTTTTCATTTTCAGGTTTATTTATTTATTCATTTATTATTATCATTCTTTTTATTTATTCATTTTTACATGGTGTAAATATTTAGTAGTCTGTTTTTTCCATATAAAAGAAGCCCCTAATTGAGATATGTAATTATGTCTTGTGTATGTAAATCACTATCTGTCTCCTTTTTCTATCTCTGTATCTCTCTCTTTCTCCCTGTCTGTCTGTCTGCCTCTCTCTCTCTCTCATGTATCGATTACACACTCTCTCTTTCTCTCTCTCTCCCTCTCCTTCTCTCTCTCTCTCTCTCTCTCCCTCCTCCCTCTCCTCTCTCTCTCTCTCTCTCTCTCTCTCTCTCTCTCTCTCTCTCTCTCTCTCTCTCTCACATCTCTCACTCTCTCTCTCTCTCTCTCTCTCTCCTCTCTCTCTCTCTCTCTCTCTCTCTCTCTCTCTCTCATGTATCGATTACACATAAATTACTCCATAAATCTATCACCACATATTCGCAGGATGGGACCCATGCAGCGACAAGAAATGTCTGGGGTGGTATCGCGGTTACTGGACACCGAATCCAGCGGATTGTATAAACAAAAGGAGGCTAGTGATGCACTGTGTAAATGCTACTACGGACTTGTGGTGCTGCGCTCCCCCATGCCGGAGGAAGCGAAGTTGCAAAAGGAGGTGGGGTTATTGCGTCCCCAGGAAAAGCCATTGCCCCAGTGGCAATACTAGACATAGGATGTGCGGAGGGAAGATGTGCTTCTGCTGTCTCCCTCGTGAGTGACGGAATACGTTTCGGTTTCCTGTTATTTTTGGCTCGTGTTGATTCGTTCCTCTTGCTCTATGCCCCTGTCTCTGTCTCTATCTCTCTCTGTGTCTATGTCTCTTGCTTATCTCTTTCTCTTTCTCTCTCTCTGTGTCTCTGTCTCTGCTTATGTCTTTGTCTTTCTCTCTCTTTCTATCTGTCACTCTCTTTTTATCTCTCTCTCTCTCTCTGTTTCCCTCTAACTCATAATCTATTCAAATCCTGAAACTACTGTATAATGTAAAAATCAAATTGACCGAAAATTGCTTTCAAATATCCAATGCCAATATTGGTAACCCTGAAGTTATCTAACAATTTCTCCCACAACAGCTTTCCCAGCCCCGCCCTGTCCTTGGCCAGCACCAAATAGTGAGTTGAATTTTCCCTTTATTTGTAGAAAACGAGAATGTTTATCAAAGAAAACGAGGTATACTTATTCACAGAAAACGAGGACAGCTTACAATGTGTTGTATTTGTGTTCCTATGTGTTCATGATTACAGTCATAGAGAACTGTCCGAATTGCTTTATGAATACCTCGAGTTCCTTTTAATCTTACCTCCGATGTTTTCCTTCTTCAGTCTCGATCTGTGACCACGCAATTTATAACTTGGCGGGTGAAGGAGATGCCGTTCATGTCCACAGCCCTGATTACAACCATCCTTATGCAAACAACCTTGACTGCAGTCTCCAAGTCATAGCTCCAAGTAGTTGTCAAATCGAGGTCTTTCTATGCGAGGTGTCACTGGAGAAGTGCTTCTTCGACACTTTGACGATCAATAAGTAAGTAACAATGGTTTCCGATCCTATTCATGGTTCTATGACACTTAGTATTCGATCCTTTTCATGTTTCTTTTATTTACAAGCTAAGACCTCGTCACAAAAGGAATACAATAAAAGGGTTGCATTTATTTATTAGTTATTATTGACTGATTTACTGAATAAACACTTTAAAGACGGGAATCTGCGGATCCAAATATATCTAATAACAATAGATAAGTAAAAAAAATAAAGTAAATAGATGAGATAAACTTGAAATAAAAAGAGAACTGTTATTCTCTTCACAGTAACTTGTACTGTGGAAGTGTCGCCCAACAAGGTTGGGTGACAGCGGGAAACACGGCATCGATGCAGTTCCTCACCGACTTCAGCCAAGTTAATCGTGGCTTCAATGTGGCTCTGAGAGCAGTCAATTGCGTGAGATGTTTTGACTTATCATGAGTACTGATAGCGTTGGAATTATTAGCCTAGTTTGAGTGGTAGTTAGTACTGGTAATAATAATAGTGATAGTAGTAGTTGGGAAATTTTTCATTGTCGTGTAGTACTAACAATACTGGTAGTTTTTGGGTAATTTCTATGGCAATTTGTAGTTGGCATCGATATAATACCAACAACATAGCAAGGTAATTGTTCCCGTTTAGTAAAGAAGTGTTTGGTATCAGTATTACCAGTATTTTTTGTAGTTGGATTATTATCTATAGTAGTATTTGCAGTAGCGTTATATACTCATTAACTGTATAATAGTGTAAGTACTAGCACATACTCAACTTTTAGCAGCATTAGTAGTTAAAGTAACAACAGTAGATAGTTAATAACGCAGAAGTAAATATTCACTGATTTAGTAGGACGAATAATAACTGTAGTATTATTCATATCCGAAAATACTTGATTTAGTAGATGCAACATTTATCCCATTTATCTGTTTCCCTTCAAACTCTGTGCTTTAATTACTTATTTCTCTTGATTTCAGTTTGATTGTACAGAGGGACCAGTTTATGAAAGTTAGTATTGATATTGCAAAGTATTCACCGCTTATGTGTGTATGTGACCAAAGCGTCTGCGTCTTTTGAGAGAGAGTAAAAACAATGACAAAGTATTTGATTTAAGTTTAAATCCAGACATATATAAACAAACATCATATAAGTATGAGCAGAGAGAGTGAGAGAGAGAGAGAGAGAGAGAGAGAGAGAGAGAGAGAGAGAGAGAGAGAGAGAGAGAGAGAGAGAGAGAGGGAGGGAGGGAGGGAGGAAAGCGCATCGCAGTTTTCCAGCACCTGGTTGAGTTGCCAGTTTTTTTTCTCTGTGTGCACTCCAACTTGTTTGTTGCGTCATATAATCTCTTCCAAGTGATGCTCCACAGACTCTAATATCTACTAATATCTTCCGCCTCTGCAGTGGGCTTCAACGCTACCAACATCGTGACTGATACTGGAGGCCGTCTCGTTTCTCCCGGTTTCCCTGATAATTATACCAACAACTTGGACCTCACGACAATAATCACCGCTCCAGATGGTTTTATCATTACTTTTGTCTATTTATTATTCAACCTGGAACCTGAACCACCCGCGTGTGATTTCGACTACTTGCTAATCTACGATACTACTCCTACTTTTCCACTGCCGTAAGATTTTTGTTTACTTTCTTATTTTCATTTTTAGTAAACCAATTGATATGTGCTTTACGTTTGATGACAACCATTTTACTTATTTTTTAGTTAACTGTAGATACTGACGGATACCAAAGATTTTTTTTTTAAACAATATTTAACTGCTACCATTTTTTCTTTATTATTCCACTAACCAATAGAAAGAGATTGTTAACCAATTCGTTCGTTGACCTTAATGTTGACGGAAGAAAAAGTCCATATAAAAATGAACGAATAAACTCAGTTGGATCGTTCCTCAGGCCTGATGACCATAACCAAAATTATTATATTCTTATTACCATTGCTCTTTCACCCATTCATATCCTTTCCGGTTTCCCGAACAGGCCCAAGTACTGTGGTAATGTGGCTCCGAGTTTCACCATGTCAGCTACGAACCAAGTAGAAGTTGTTTTCTCCACTGATAGGGCTTTCGTTGGAAAAGGATTTGATATTTGCTTCACCGTGGTAAGGAAGAGAGGCAGATGATCAGTGGTGTGCTGGAATTGGGGGGGGGGGGTGGCGATGGGGGGGGGGAACTGCCCCTCCTGCCGATGAAAAGGAGGGACGCCAAAGTGAATTTTCACATAAGAGGGACCAATGGGTTAAGGTCTCGAATCGACTTTTCTTGCCAATAGCAGACTCATTTTCTCGATTCATAGACATATTCATGGTATTTTTTATGGGATTTACAAAAAAAAAAAAAAAAAAAAAAATTAAAGGTAGTTACGGAAGGGGTCGCCATTTCAACTTTTTGCACCTCATGCAATCTCATTCCCATGCACACCACTGTAGATGTAGAAAAAAATTATGAATAAATGTATAGATAGATGATAAGAAACGATGACCGTGTCGATAGATGAATTAATCAAAGATGAAAGAAAGAAAGAAAAAAAAAACATCGTGATAACTGAATGAAACGGATTTATTATCAACAAGACTATTTATAGGTTCATAGACTTTCTTTCTTCATAGGGAGATGCGTGTCGAAGTGGCCGTATTTATTAATGAATAATATTTGTCGTTAAATATTGCAGGTCCCCGCTCCCTAAAGGACGAGTGAAGGTGCACTCTCTCGCCTCTGAAGTTCAACAGTCCTGAAGTCTTTCTCTCCCTCTTTTATACCCGATAAACCAAGAAATTTAAAAGTAAAGAGAATATTCTATCATCGACGTATGTGTGTGTGTGCTTTTTCAGGATGAATACTTAGTTACAGAAAACAAGGAATATTTTATCAAAGAAAACGAGGCATATAGAAAACGAGGAATACTTCAAAGAAAACGAGGAATACTTTTTCAAAGAGAACGAAAAATACTTCTTCAAAGAAAACGAGGAATTATTCAAAGAAAACTAGGAATTATTTAAAGAAAACGAGGAATACTTATTCTAAGAGAAAGAAGAACTTCAAAGAAAACGAGGAATTATTCAAAGAAAACGAGGAATTATTCAAAGAGAACGAGGAATACTTATGCAAAGAGACTGAGGACCGCTTACAGAGGGTGAGGAATATTTAGCCGAAGTAAACGATTGCGTTCAAGTCAACAGCAAATTCATCTAGCTTGCTTTAACTTCAAACTTTACCAAGTGAAATGAAAACCGATGGAACAACATAATGCCACAATTTCTATCCGCATGAAAGTATTAAGAGCAATTCCTCTCCTCAAGGAAATACCGTAATGTACGTCTTCAAAGAATTACCATGAACAATATTGAACAATCCATGCGTTCAAGGAAATATGAACAACTGGTGTTCGGAAGGCGGTGCTATGAACAACTCCAATCTTCAGAGTAGTGTGACCAAGAAAGATACCACGGGCTGTCCTCGTAACTACGGACACTATTTACTGTTGATTCTGTGAGGCCTGAGGTCCCAAAGATTTGATTTGATTGATATTATGACCTGGACCTATTTAGCATTTAATAAAGTTTGTTGCAGCATCTGGTGTTGTTTTTCTTGCTTTCTTTATCCCCTTAGTAATATTACATGAGGTTCAGGACAATATAACTCTTCAATGACTCAAGATTGTATGTGCTCCAGTGAGTGCTTAACTCGTGGAAACATAATTGTCATCGCATACATTGTGCTATATAATTTAGACACATAGAGTTTGGTATCTAGTAGGACGAATCTCAAAGTCACCACATCGCCACATACACATATTTTCGTGTACATGATCATAGTAACATGTGCACAAAAATGAAAATACAGACAGCCACAATAAGATGAAATTAAACAACTTTTCGACTTTACGAGTTGCTCTTCAGACAAGTAACAAACCGGTTTGTTACTCATCTGAAGAGGAGTGCGTCAAGAGTTCGAAACGTTACATTTATTTTCATATCTTATTGTAACTCTTCATTTACATACACACAATCACACACATGTGTATATATATACATATATGTAAATATAAATATACAATATATATATATATATACATACATACATACATATATATATATATATATATATATATATATATATATATATATATATATATATATATATATATGCATAGAAAAACAAACTACCGTGTTGATACTATGGTAGAAAAACCCACAATGCACAAACTAGGTTTATTGTTGAAAGTGTGACAACAGTTTCGGAATCGTCCTCGACTCCATCTTCGGGTCTGAGGAGGGAAGGGAGAGGAAGCGGTATAAGGGGGAAGGGAGGAGAAGCACAGGGAAACACGGGGCAGGTGAGGACAGGAGAACGGAAACGAAGGGAGGTCAGGTCAGGTGGAGAGAGGAAACGCAACACCACGGGAGACACGGGGCAGGTTAAGACAGGAGACACGAAGTGAAGGGGGGTCAGGTCAGGTTGAAGGTCAGGCGGTCTATGTGACGGGTGACCGGCATAAGGAAGGAGACGAAGGATTTGGGAAGCGAGGAGGCTGTCGGCAGGAGAAAAACCGCTGTTCAAGTTGAAATTGGGCAGCAGCTTAATCAGAAAAGATTCCACCAGTCTGCGGGCATGGACATCAGCGGAAGGGAAGAAAATGCATGCTGCTTTCCAGTCCATCTGATGGCCAGTGTCCCACTGTTGCTACGTCCCCTGGATACAGCGTACTTAAGCTGAGACAGACGCTTAGTAAGACTGGCGCCTGTTTCACCAAAATACTGCTTATCATAGGAGGCACACGGAACAGCATAGTTGCCCACCTTCGAGGTAGAGGGAGGGCAGGTGTGAACCAGGTTACGATGTAGAGTATTCACCTGGCGAAAGGAAAGTCTGCAGTTGAGAGTCTGCAGGGGCCGACAGAGGGAGTAGATCTCCTCAGTGTAAGGTAGGCTGAGGAGACTCATTAGGAGGGGAATCATTGTAGAAGGTACGCCGCACCCTGGATAACGCGACGTCTAAGACATGGCGGGGGTTGCCCAGTTTGGAGAACGAACGACGAAGGAAGTCGATCTCTCCATCCAGATACTGGGGGTTACAGATACGGAGGGCACGAAGAAACAGCGAGGTGGCAACCCATTTCTTTATATGCAGTGGATGGTGCGAGAAGAAGTGTATGTACATACCACTGTGTATAGGTTTCCTGTATATAGAAAAGGAGAAATGATCATCAGAGCGATGGACAAGAGTGTCCAAGAAAGGGAGCTTGTCGTCAACCTCCCATTCCACCCTGAAACGGAAGGAAGGAGAGAGAGAATTCAGCTGCGACAGGAAATCAGGAAACAGGGCAGGGTCGTGAGGCCAGAGAGAGAAGACGTCGTCGACATATCTCAGCCACATGGAAGGTCAAGGGGAGATGGAAGGGAGGAGCTCCGACTCGGAGAACTCCATATACAGGTTAGCCAGAACAGGGGAGAGAGGAGAGCCCATGGCAACACCGAACGTCTGTGAGTAGAAACGACCCTTAAAGGAGAAGGAATTCGACTCCACACACAGACGAATCAGCTGGAGGAAGATTTCGGTGGGAAGAGGAAGACGAGGATCCTTGGCAGGGAGCTTCCTCTGAAGGAAAGTGAGGACGTCATCAAGCGGGATCTTGGTGAACAGGGAGTCGACATCCAGGCTCAGCATGGACGCCGGCGAGACACCGCGGACACGGGAGATGAAGTCCTGTGAATGACGAAGGTGAGCAGGAGAGGTGCCAAGAAGGGGAGTGAGAGACTTAGCCAACCAGGCCGACAGAGGATGCGTCACTGATCCCCGGGAGATGATGGGGCGTAGAGGCACGGCCGGCTTATGGGTTTTAGGAAGCCCATAGAAATGAGGGAGGCGAGGGTTGACAACCTTGAACCTCTGGTAAAGGTTCACCTCCGGGAAACAGGCTGCAAGCTCTCTCAGACGACGTTGGAAAGTGGCAACAATGCGTTCCCGCGGGTCACTGGTGAGGGGGGCATAGGTGGAGGCATCACCTAACAGGTCCTGGGCCTTCTGCAGGTAGGAGCCACGGTCGAGGATCACCACCGAGTTGCCTTTGTCAGAAGGTAAAATGATGACATCCTCCCTGCGCAGGCTGTGAAGGGCCTCACGGTAACGCCTGGGGATGGAAGGGTTGGGGTGAAGGAAGGACTCGCGGGCCGGAAGGAACAAGGTCTATATAAGTACAGGTCTCGTCACTTCGGAGTTCTGCGCAGCTTTGGGTGATCAGGCCTATGACGTCACTTGGAGAGAGCTGAGAGCAAGGGGGGGGGGGGGAATTAGAGCATGGTAGGGTGGAAGGGAGATAATAGAAAATGAGATGTTTGCACGTTGAACAAGTTGCATATTGGACAGATTTTACGGGCGATGATTATCAGCGATTGTTTATAGGCCTATATCACATATTCTACGTGAATTTAGTTTTGTAATTTTCATGTTGCAGCTTAGACATAGCATAATAAAGACGTAAAAAAAAGACATGGAATATGTAAACTCCAAATGTTTTTTGACGAATTTATTATAAAACAAATCATACAACAATAACAATAATAATGTTGATAATAATAATAATGATAATGGCAATACATAAACATAATAATAACATA